CGCCGATGACCGTCTGGACTCCGTGAACGACCATAACTTCTCCCGCGCTTATCCCGCGCATCTCTTGAATGTCCTCTTAGAGAAGTCTCCAGGTCCGCCATCGGAGGAACGATGGTGGGATGCACTTCTCTCCGTCTGCCTGACTCCGGGGTAATTCCGTCGATGGCAGACAATGGAATCTCTTCGTTGTTTGCCATGGACGGTGATCGGACGAGCCTAGAAGACAAGGTTTTGTCTGCAAAGATTCCCACAGACGGTGCTAATTGTGCGGGGAGCAAATATTCAAGCAAGCCCGCACTCCTTTCTTCCAAGCTCCGTTTCTATCCGATCACCTGCGTGCACAACAGCAGTGAGCTACCCGGCGGTGTGTGGCTGGAAAACCCCTCCGACGATCAAGTTAGCACACACCTGAGGATAGAGAGAGTGAAGAGAGAGTTGAGTGTAAGTATTTCTCTCACCAAATGTTCATCTGTCCAGCATGGGGGGCACAGACTTGCTTATATACCTTCTGCGTCCCAAATCTACTCACATTCGTCTCTCGACACGTGGTGCTGCTATCCCATCTGTCAGCACAAATCTTGTTGAACATCACCTAACCCAACTGCCAGGCCACTGTATTGGGAGCTCGGCAGCCAGTCTGTAGCATCTCGGTTGTCAACAGCCATGCTGCGTTTCATGCCCAATTGCTCCAAGAACTGAGATCCTTTCCAGCCATGCTCAACAGCATTCTGGCGAAGCCGACCTTGAGATTGGTCGTACCAGTCAACCAAAGGCCTTCCTGCCGGGCTTCTGGCACAAGCTTCTCAGCCGGGCTAATGGTGCGTGCCTTTGACCGAGCAACGCAAGTTGCATGGTTATCACCTGCGCAGATCCAAGTAGCTCGGTCCATTTTTGAGCAGCCCCAACACCGGGCAAATCCAAAGTTATCGCGGCCCAACGCACCATTGGGCCTCCAATTTGCTCGGCCTCTAACTCGGCCCATATCCGGCTCATAATTCTCCTTCTCAGTGGTGTAAGTAGAATCACCATTTATTCTTGATTAACCTCAAGTTAGTTTCTTACATGACAATTTTACCCAAATTACTCAAGTTATTTACGAACATTTGTCATATTTCATGTTTGAACAATCTACTATTTATGATTTTCACTTATATATATATATATATATATATTGCTCTAGTGATGGCCACTGACTCAATCCGATCACAGGAAAGAATGTAGATGTTTAAAATCGTGAGAGATGTTTGGCCAAAAAAGGTTTTGTTTAAAGTGTCCCAACTCGAGCAAAGCTCAATTTTTATTTTCTAGACTAATAATCCTAGGAACATGTAAAATTCTACACATTCAATTATACATTCTCTCATGATGTGTGGAAATCACACCCATATCAAATAACGTAATTTATGTGTAAAATTTAGTGTGTAAAAAATGAGAAGTTATACCTTGCTCTAGGGGCGTGGACACATGGTTCTCGAAATCAACTGTGATTGATGTTTGATAGGTGTTTGATTTTATGATTTAAGTTGTCTAAATTAATAAATTACCTTCTTGCCCATCAATTTAGGCCAAGTTTGGGAAGACTAAAAAAGTGCACTTTTTGTCTTTTTGGACTAAAAAATTGAGGTTGAAAATATGGATGTTTGGGTTAACTTTTTGACTTTTTATTGAAAAATATGTAATAAAAAATTGTAAAAATTGATTTGTAGGAAAAAATTTGAATTAGGAGTTGTGCAGCCGTAATTGTTGACTTTTGGTGAATAGTGTTAACTTTTTAACTTTTTGAGTAACTTTTTGGCTTTTTAGCTTTTTTGGAAGTACCCAAACTTGGCCTTAGGCTTCAACTGTAATTGATTTGTCTAATTGTCTTTAATTGGACCATACAATTTTTTTTAAAAAAATTAGGGATTAAATAGATGAAATTAATAGTTTAAGTATGAAATAATAATAATAATAATAATATTTGATAATAGTTTAGAGAGTAATGTTGCAATACACACCCTTCAAAAAGGAATGTATCATATGAATACCACAAAGTGTCATAATCAAATCATTTTATGCCATACCTTGATGATAAACAAACATTTTTTTTTTAAGGTGAAAATAACCAAACACTTTTGAGGCATAGTAAAAAATTTCTTCAGTCATTACCAAAATTATAATCACAATAGATCATAAATGAGTTATAATCAACACTACAACGTGTTATATCAAAGGTTATAACCAAACATCGCTTGAGGTAGAACCAAATACCTTTTCAATCATAACTAAAACAATAACAACAACAAAAGGCCACTTACAAGTCAGTCTTGTTAACCAGACTTGTTTATCTATAAGTCTTATTCTATTTTTCACTTATCAATATCTCTAAAATGCCCCCTCCTTACCATTTTCATCCCTATTATTTACACTACCATGACTGCACCTTCTCCCTTGGAAACCACCTATCTTCACCTTTTTTATCCCCATTATTCACATTGCCATGACTGCACCTTCTCCTGCCGGAAACCACTTCCGACCAATCATCTCTAGTTACCAACAACCACGTTCGGCCATCATCTCCGACCACTGGCGACCATCGGCGACCACCTCCAGCGATATTTATTTGATAGTAATTTTTGACAATTTTTCTGCCATTTTTTTAAGAAAAATCAACATCCATCTCTACTATGTCACTCTCCTATACCTCCTCAAATTTGGTGGTGACAAAAGAAATAGAAAAGAAGTAGAAGTATTTAATAGTGATAAATTTATCATTGTATCAATATTTATCAAAATAGTTAATCACCTACTCTCTTTCACTATCACACTCACATTTACATAGATACACCATCCCTCCCTTATTCATTCAAAGAAAATACATTTACACACATATAAAAAAGGAGTAAGACTATAAATTTATCACTGTTATAGATTTATCCAAATTTATCCCTGATAACATATCAGTGATAAATTTATCACTGTATTAATATTTACCAAACTAGTTAATCACTTACTTTCTTTCACTATCACACTCACACTTATATACATGTACACTCCTCACTTATTCATTCAAAAAAACACATTCACACATTTACATATAGAAAATAGCTTTCTCAGTGATAAATTTATCACTGACACAAATTTCGCCAAACATTAGTTTACAAGCAATTGACAAAGAGAATAAGAAAGAGAGGTGTGATATGAAAAATCTTTGTATATTTCATCATCATCATCATCATCATCATCATCATCTTACAAATTCAAAACAAAACCTAAAAAAACGTTGCTAAAAACCAAACCCAAACAAAACCAAATTAAAAAGTAAAAACTTCTCTAATTGGGAAATTTTTATAGATTCCGGCATGATTATCGAAGTTTTTCCAGGGGATCTTGATGGTAGAGTATAAATTGGCACCGGTGGAGTGTAGATTGGAGAAGATAAAGTGTAGATTGGAGATATAAAGCGTAGTCGGAGAAGATAGAGTATAGATCGATGACAGTAGTGGTAGATTGACAATGATAGAGTGCAGATCGGAGATAGTAGAGGTGGTTGGTGACTGGTGGCAGTGGTGGCGGACAGTAGATGGTGGTGGTGGTAGTAACAACCAACGGTCGATGGTGGTAGTAAGTATGGTAACGGTGTGTAGCGGTAGTGTGAAGCTTTGAAAATTGTTAAGAGATGAGAGAGAGAGAGAGAGAGAAGGAGAAGAAGAAGAAAAAGATAATATATTTAATGAGGGTAATATGGACAGTTGAGGAGTTATTGGTGCATTTAAAAGGTTAACCAGACTTAATGATAATTAAGTCCGCTTTATGTGACTAGCTCGTAAAAAACCCTAATAAATTATAATTAAGTCATAACCAACACCATAATAGTGGTGTTTGATAAAATTGAAAACTTAAATGTGAAGACTGAAAATTAAGTATTGAATTTTTTAAGCTGAAAAACTGTTTAATAAAAATTTAAGTATTTAACTAAAAATAAATTGTTTGATATGTATAAGATCAAGTTCGAATTTTATTATTTTCAAATTGTATATTTTAATTTTTATATTATGATAGTGGTGGTGGTGAATGTAATATGGTGATAGTGGTAATAGTGGTGTTGGTGGTAGTGGTAGTGGTGGTAGTGGCCTGGTGGCAAGCAGTGGTGGTGGTAGTAGTAGTGTCGATAGTGGTGGTGGTCGCGATGACAATAGTGATGGTAGTGGTAATAAAATGGTGGTGCTTATGATAACAATAACAATGGTGATGAAGGTGGTGATAGTAGCGGTGGTGGTGGTGGTGGTGGCGATGGCGATGGCAATGGTGATGATGGTAGTGGTGGTAGTGGTAGTTGTAGCGGTAGTGGTGAGTTTATAATAGTGTATATCGATATTTATATTTAATATTTATAAATTCAGTTAGAATTAAGTAAATTTTATATGATTTAAAATTTTCTTAAGTTTTAAAATACATTTTAAGAAACATTTTAATTTTTAAATAATATCAATTGTACTTATTAAATGAATTTAATTGATTATCATTCAATATATTTAATTTTAAATACTGAATCAAGTTATTAAACACTTCATAAATCATAATCAAATAATAATTAACACCACAATTTAATCTTAAAAAAACCCCACAAAGATTTCTTTTTTTTTTTTAAATACAGTAGGACACCCCTAAAACAGCCTCTAACAAGCCAAAACAGTGGCTGAAAATGCAAGAAAAGAACTCAAAAAGTTAAACAAAAAATAAAGACAATAAAGCTATGTAAGCAAAAACATGGAGGGGTGGCCAACCCCTCAAATTTGAAGACTTCAAACCATGTTTTTTTTTTTTTTTTTTTCCTTTGTTCACTAATCATCACCTATCACATGCGTGTGAGGTGATGAGGGGTGATTGGACTCCTCATAACAAAAATCAGTGGATGTTTAGAATTTTTTATTTTATTAAATTAATCAGAGCGGGACCCAAAAAATTGACGCGTAATTCCAAGGTGTATTTGGGATTGTTTTCGGAACTTTCCTTGGTGGGTTTGTCTGTCTGTAGAGATTGATATTGAAATAGTTTATTTTTCTTGACGATCGAAGGCCCGAAGCAAACCCAAGGTTCACATTTCGATCGAGCGAGAGAGAGATTTGTCGGAATTCAACGTGATCTTTATTGATCCATCAACATGAGTTTTCTATTCGGCAAGAGGAAGACACCTGCAGGTTCACATTTCGATCTTGTTTCAATTTTGTTGCTTGGGTTATCACTCGTTGACAAATCTAATGATTTAATTCGCTTGAAATGTTCTGTATATCCTGGAATTGTAAACAAATAAGTCTCAAATTTTGGTTTTATTTGTTTTAAGATGGTCCTTCTGATCACGATCGTAGAGGGCGTATGTAATCTCGAGTTAGGGTTTTTATTGTTTATCATTTCACTGAATTCTTGCTTCTCAATTTTGCTATTTGCGCATCAAAATACTAAAATTGATGTAACTTGCTTAGGTAGAGTTTACTTTTTTAGTTCATACAAATGGAGTAATTCCTAAATTGGATCATGTTTTTGAATTCTATGTTTTACTTAATTTAGTTTGTAAAGCTGCGGTGCTGAATTGGCTTTCAGTTTCGATATGTGCCTCTGTGTAAAATCAAAACAATTGAGATGAAAAATAGAAAAAGAGGGAAAGAAAACCGGGGGCTTGAAACATTTTCTAGGTTCAATTAGTAGAGATGGAGAACCCTTCTAAGCTCTTCACAAGTGAATTACAAGCTTAGAAGCACTAACACGGACACAACGGACATGCAAATATGTAAATTTTCAAAAAAATGTAGGACACGACATGTTGGGAACATGTGAAAAAAATGTAATTTTATATATTTATTATGTGTCATATTTTTAAATATTTAATATATATTTGATGTTAAATATTTAATTTTATCAAATTTATCAACTTTAGGTATGTTATTTTATCCAAAAAAAATCTTAAATTTTAATTTTTTTGAAAAACATAGTCCTTAGCCTGTCCCCAACGTGTCCGTAGCGTGTACTCAGTATGTCTGTAGCATGTCCCAAGTCGACTCTTTCTAACATGTCCAACTCTTTCTAGTTTGTCCAACATGTGTCCGGAGCTGTCTGTGTCAGACTCTCGTACATGACCTCCGGAGAGGTGTCTATGCTTCATAGATTACAAGATATTTTTCATTGGCAATTGATTCTACAAATCACTTGCAAAATAGTAGGCTATCTGATAATGACTTAGGCACTATCTTTTACTAGTACTACAAAAGTACAACACTTCAACCACTAAATAACTTCTCGAAACTAAATTGAGAATTCTAATACAATGCAAAAATTGCTGCAATCTCAATTTCATGGTAGTTTGGATACATGACTATCCGAAAAGTATTTGATACTTCTCAAAATTAACATCAAGTATTAGATATGCTTAGAAAGTATTTGATACGTATTTGCAAGCATCCGATGAATGTCGATATCTGATACAGGTAGGATACGGATACGACTCCTTTTTAGAAGTATTCATGCCTCATTGTTAAGTGTTCTGTTACATTGACACTAGTGTTATTTAACTAAAGTTCATTTTTTTACTCATTACTTGACTGCAATCATTGTGTGATGCTTTTTTGTTTGCAAACATGAACTTTTTGTTACTAGTCATTGCATTTTACATGTAATGCCCTATTAGCATGGAAGACATTGACATGTGAAATTTAATCATCTTGTTCATATCAAAGCCGTATGACCTAGGTATGAATCAGCCTTTTGGGGTCATTTTTTGAGTTGCATATTTAATATATACTAGTGTTACTAGAAAACGCTGATACCCTAATGATTGCATTTTGGAACACACTTTTTGAAATGTATACTTTCATTCTAAAGCGGTAAATTCAGCAATTTGAAAAGTTTTGTTTTTTGTTTTTTTTCCAATATATTTTCTTTTATCAAATATAATGATACAAAATATTAAAAAAAAAAAAAAAAAAAGGGTTATAATGCTCATAGAAATGTGTTATTACAATATTAATTTAGGCCTCATTTGGGAACATCACAAAGTAGCCTAAAAGCTAAAAAGTCACAAAAAAATTCAAAAAGCCAACAAATACCAAAGAATCAAAGATTTATTTCCATTCATTGTACTTTTTTGCACATCTTTTCGTAAAAAAACCAAAAGTCATCCCAAACATATTAGTTTTTTTTATATCATATTTTAGCTAAAAAACCAAAAAGTCACTAAAAAAGTATGTTCCTAAACGAGGCCTTAAAAAAATAAGCATGTTCCTAAATGAGGCCTTGGATATCTAATTGTTAAAAAAATAAAAAAATAAACCTGAACTCGACCAAAAGTATTTTAAATTCTTATAGTATAAACTACACAAGGCTACCCATATCGTACCACAGTTTGGAGCAAATGGTGTACCACGTTCCCATTCCATGTACCAAAACGATCCACATTCCAAGTAAGATAGTTATATACCCGTGGAACATGGCATGCACATGTCATTTAATTGGAATACTAGTGGAGTCTTACCTTGGGCTGTCGTTCAGGTTCCTATTTTTATTTATATGGACCAAGTAACAATGGTTATGCTATAAAGCTTGAAGTTATGATTACTCTAAAAGCTATAATGTATAAGTTGAATATGTGGTTGTAATTTCAGAACTTCTACGGGAAAATAAGAGGATGTTGGACAAATCTATTAGAGAAATAGATCGGGAGAGGCAAGGCTTACAAGCACAAGAGAAGAAATTGATTGCAGAGATAAAGAAAAGTGCCAAGCAAGGACAGATGGTATGTACTTGTGTAAAATTACCTCTTTTTAATATGAACTACTATATATTATATTTTAAGAACTTAGTAAAAAGCACATCTTCCTTTTATGCTTTCCATGGGTGCAGGTGATCCTATTTTAAATGCAAGATTTTACCACCTTAATTAAGATGCAGATGCAAATATGTGGCATCTTTAATTCGAGTTATGTATTTTCTAGAGTTTCAAATCACCCGGTTGATTTTCCCAAGTATAGACTGATATTTTATATTTTTGGATATTCACTTATTTGTATGCTGTGAAATATATTGAAAAACTGTATTTGCAATCGAAGCATAAACTTGCAGCTCAACCTTGAATATCATTTATAGTCTTTCACTAAACTCCTTCAAATGTGGGTGAACAAATAAACCAACACTTCTTCGAATGTGGGTGAACAAATAAACCAACATTTTGGATTGTAAGCATCAGTATCTTGTTGCTAATGCATAGAAAGCTGCCATTGGCCTGATCACAAAATGTTGTTCTACCTGATTTGTTTAAATTAACATAGGTTTAAAGCATTATATTCATGGCACTGTGAAAATCAATTTATAAAACATTGTTCTCATCCTCCGTTGCTGTACCTGGTTATAGGGTGATGGAAACTTGGAGTTACATAAAAAGATTGTTAGGGCTGCTGGTGCTCTATCATAGTGTTGGAGGGGCATCTATTTTTCTTTACTGATGTTACTTGTGCAAACATGATATGAGTTATTCAAGCACTTTATTCAGGATATTCTTCTTTTAATAAGTTTTCTGCATCAAATTCTTTTATTCAGGCTCTGTGATTATATAGATCACTACACTGAGAATCTCTCAAAAATCAGCTGACAAACAGTGCATTGGGCATTTTTATCTTCAATAAGTCTGAGGAGCTTGCCTTATTTCCATCCATTCTCTATCCGGAGTCAGGATGTGATCTCCATACGCCATAACCTTATTCAGTTTTATACTTTTATTACATGTAGCCTTTTGTCTCATATGTAGTTCCTTCCATTTACATGTACTTCTGTAGTATGTACTAATGCTTATATATCTATGTTCACCCGCCATTATTTTGTTCTGTTTTGGAGTTACTTTTCATGTGTTGATGTATGTTAATAGAGTTACCTTCTTTTGGAATCATGATTTTTAATATTATCAGCAGATTTCTCGCCTCCTTCCCCTCTTTTTGGAAAATTAATTCAAAATTATAGTTTATTATTCTTCTAGATAGCCCCTGCTTGATAGAATTATTAAGTTTGTGGCATCATTTATGAATACAAATGGAGTGAGCTATGTACCCACATTATCTTAAATATTAAATATTTGATTGCAAGTACTGTTGTTCCAGGGAGCTGTTAAGGTGATGGCAAAAGACCTTATTAGAACACGGCATCAGGTCGAAAAGTTTTATAAGCTGAAATCTCAACTCCAGGGTGTAGCTCTTAGAATTCAGGTATGCTTTGCTTTTGGTTAATTATTCATTATTTTCATTAATATTTTTAATGTCATGTAACATTATTTTGTCATCGTCGCCTTTGTATTAGGGCCGAGTCATGTTGTTTATATGTGTCTTTTGAACATTTTGTTCAGAGAAATAATGGGAAAAAGTCATTGCTCTTGTTTTTATCGAAGGAAATTCAATATCCTTGTGTGCTTCTCATTACAGAGCCTCTGATGAATATATTAATTGAAATTTCTGTCTATAAATGTGATGATCAGATATGGTGAAATGGGTTTTTGTTGTTCTTTGTTCTCTCTTTAGTTGAATCTACATCCTCTTTCCCTTTCTGCATCTTCAAATGGAATTTTGAGTTGGATTTTGATATAGCATTTTTTTTTGGGGGGGAACAAGTTTAGATTCATAAAGAGTTGACTTTCATATTTGGTTAAACATATTGTATGTTTATTTATATGCTCATCTATAGCCTGTATATACCATTATATAAAGTGAACATGCTAGTTTGGTGTGAACACCAAATTGAAACTGTGTAACTCTTTTTTTCAATTCCAAATTATCCAACAAAGATTTATCTTTTACTGTTTGAAAGTTTTATGTTTATCTTAACTGTGGGGTTAAGATAGTAAAATCCACTCGTTCAGAACCATTCAACCTCCCAATATATGTGACTGTTTCAGCTACTTTATGATGTATTATGAACACATGCAACACGTGTGCCACGATCTCTAGTATTAGCTAAAAAGAACTGGCGATGACAAAAATATATGTACTGGCTGGCTAATAAAAGCCGAGACAAGCAAGAATTCGATCTGCGTTGGAATGCAAGTTCCAGGTTTTTTTTTTTTTGTCAGCTATAAGATTGTGTACGCTGACAAAATTATAGTAACTTTGCTAGTTATCTTCTTGTTGTACTAATATTTAGATTTATTTCTATTTAAAAAAAATTAGACTTTGAAGTCAACACAAGCTATGGGAGAGGCAATGAAAGGTGTGACAAAGGCAATGGGTCAGATGAATAGGCAGATGAACTTGCCATCGCTGCAGAAAATAATGCAAGAATTTGAGAGGCAGAACGAGAAGATGGAAATGGTTACTGAGGTCATGGGAGATGCCATTGATGATGCTTTGGAAGGGGACGAGGAAGAAGAAGAAACAGAAGAGCTAGTGAGTCAGGTTCTTGATGAGATCGGAATTGATATAAAATCAGAGGTACTTTTTCTTTTCACTTTGAGTCCCTCTATCAACTAGAATTTAGGTGAATAAGTCTTTTTTTCAATATTAACCATTTGGGTATTTGATGTGCAGCTTTTGAATGCACCATCATCTGCTGTAGCTGCCCCAGCTGCAAATAATAAGGTTGCACAAGCTGAAGCAACAGGAAGTGATGACACTGGGATAGACAGTGATTTACAAGCAAGGTTAAACAATTTGAGAAAAATGTAGTATTTTACTTGAAATACGAAAAATTGGTATGCGCTTGTAACTTGTGTGAAGACTTTGTCAATTCATGGTTTGGTACAGCTTATATATTACAATGAAACTACTTTTGATGCTTCATATTACCTTTCAATGCTTTCCTGAACTTAACCAACCTACTTGCGGTACAGTTAGGCCTTTCTAGACATCCTTGGTTATTTAGAGGTTGCATATGGGTGGCTTTGGACAGGTCAAAATAGTTATGCATTAAAACAACTCAATCGAAATATGCCCGTTTAATAAACGGGAATTGGATATAGGTTGGACAAAATGAACGAATTGGGTTTACTTTGTTGAACTCTTTTTGTGGTGATGGTGGAGGTGCAGGGGATGGGTTTCTTGCTTTGTTGTTTGTTTTATCCAAATTCAATGAGTATTCATGTCTAATTCATTTAAACTCAATTTTAAAAGGACAAATTACAAACACTCCTCTCGAGATTTGATAAAAATACAGATTTTTTCCCGAAATTTGAAAAATTACAAATTGCCCTCTGAAGGTCAAATTTTCATAACAAATTAAGAAAAATTAGGAGAGAATCTGTATAAAAATAAAAATTTCAGGGGACAATTTGTTATGAAAATATAAACTTCAAGGGTGGGATGTAATTTCTTAAACTTCAGGGAGAAATTTGTATTTTTACCAAACCTCGGTTGTTTGTAATTTGCCCATTTTAAAAAGTTCAGCCCATTTATTGCTTGTTTATGAATTTAGATGATTTCAAATGGATGAAATTGAGCGAATTCACAACTTCGGGCTAAGTTTGTTGCCTCTTGTTAGATTCAAGACAGTGATTCAAGACAATGTAGCGCTAAGCTTGGCCAATCATTCCCAGCCATTTCCCACCCCTTCTGCAACTTGTGAACCCTCCCACATTCCCTCTGCAACTTGTGAACCCCCTTTCCTTACCTTACCTTCCCTGCCCCAAACCCTAGATCTAAGGTTTTCAACTATAGGGTTCAGCGGGAAGAAAGAGAAGAATAAAAGAGGAGGGGTGGTAGATGGTGGGGAGGGAAGAGGAGGCGAAGGTGGCCCAGAGGCACAAGAAGAGAAGCCAAGGGCGGGCTAGGGGGTGACGGCTGGAGGTGGCGAGGGCGTTGGGGAGAGGTGGGGAGGGGGTTGTGGAGTTCGGATCGATGGCGTCAACTGTTGAAGCCAAAAGTGTCGGGGTTGGGGTTTTGAATTGTGTCCCTTTTAGTAATTTAATTTGAGAACAAAATGGTGTCACAAAATAAGTAAAAGTGGGGTGTCCACCCAACGTCTTGAATGCATTTTTAGAGACACCTTAGTCTGTGTACATGGCCAAACCGTCGATCTGGTTTGGCTCTCTCTTAAGAAAATGAAAAAGAGGAATAATAATAAGTGATCCATTGCCAATCTCTGTCTTTGGCCCTGTTTGGTACAGCTTAATTTCAGCTTATTTCAGCTTTCAGTTTAATTTAAGCTATTTTGATGTGTTTGGTTTAGCTTATAGCTTATAGCTTATAGCTTTGTGGAAGTCAGAAAACAGCTTATTCTTTAAGTGGGGCAGGAGATGCTTTAAGAATAAGCTGGAAATCAGCTTAAGCTGAAAGTTATAAGCTATAAGCTGTTTAGGCATAAGCTATAAGCACTTTCCCACAGCTCTACCAAACGGGGCCAATAAAAATGTCACACATGTTTCATATGACAAGTTCCTTCAACTTTTTTAGTTAAAAAATTGTACAAAAAAGTTAGACTTTTTTAAAGAATAATTTAAGGATTATAAAAAAAAATATCATGAAATCCTTAATGAAGATTTTTCATCCGCTGATTAGTGTATGGTGTTTTATTATATGTGTAATCTAACGGTGGGAAATCTTTCATGATTATCTTCATGATATTTTTTTTATGATCCCTATCATTATTCTTTTTTATGATCCCTATCATTATTCTTTTTTAATATAACAATGTTATGTATCATGAAAGAAATATCAAGAAAAGCCTTCATAAAGATTCTCTATCCTTAGACTAGTTTATAGTGTTTTATTGTATGTGCTGGTGAAAATACCAGAAAAAATTATATTTTATTGATAAATAATGCAAAGAAAATGAGATTCAAATAGATCGGGCTGAGGTACTGATATCTCGTTTTCTTTAAGAAGATCAAGCCTACTACGGTAGAAAGAACCCAAATACCGATGCAGTAGTCACAAAACTATGACTTGTCCCCTCCAGGATACAACAGCCTGACCACTTGTCGTATGGTTCAGGCCAACTCTGCACAAGATGGTAAACCCAAAGCTCCACCAAAAAAAATACCCTTCTTTGCTAGTAATCTCTCTTGTATAGAAAATAGTTTGTGTGTTGGTGTAAAAAAAAAAAAAGAGTAGATAAGAGAAACTATTTATAAGCCATTAGGACCTTACAAATTACACCAAAAAATAATGATGACCATTAAACAAGAGAAAATGAAGAGACTCCAAATAATAACTCACCACCAAGTTCATGAATTCTAATTAATCTCCATTCATGAACAAGACAAAAGGTCACTAAAGCAATGAATTTCCATTCATGAACAAGATGAGATTCATAAATAAAACAAAAGAAGATTCATGAACAAAAATATATAAATAAATAAATAAATGATATTAAAATGGTCCAACAATCCCCCACTCATTTTAATATCAACAAGGACAAGAGAAATTACCAAACAAAGATAGACTAGTATGCATCATGAAGGTGTGCACTGCATTGAATCTTCATTAATGAAACGGCAATCTCTACTCCAGAGTCAGTAGTAGTCTCAGACTTGAACTATGACTACTTAGGGGAAATAAAGTATTACTGCTCACACATAATAATCCAGGTGTTGACATGAACTTTAATAGCCAGCACATTACGCCCTTGTGCTTATCCCAGTTTTCATGAGCATATTCGAGAATAAGTCTTATTTTCATAGCAAGCGGCCCCACTTTCATGCTCACATAGGTGAAATCTGTTAAGGATGTTCCTGTAATTTACACACCCCACTCAACAAGAGCTACAGAATTTCATTAAGAGTACAAAAACTCAACTCTTCAACATTACAAGACAAATGCACTTACATCATATGGATGAATAACAAAATATTAAAGAGTGCATTTTTACAACCACCGTATGATTCGTTCTTCCCATTGAACTTAGTTATAAGATCTCTGGTTCCCAGGTTGAGTATCCTCATACATGGTTTATGATTTTATAGGCTTCAAACCCATCCCCCTCGATGTATTCCAAACCCTATCTCTCGCCAAGACCTTGGTTAATAGATCCACAAAATTATCACAAGATCTTACATACTTCACAGTTATGATGTCATTACTCAAATAGGATCTCACACTGCTGTGTTTCCTTCGAATAGGTCTGGATTTACCATTATAAAAATGGTTGTTCACTCTACCAATAACAGCAGTGCTATCACAACGAATTAACACAGGAGGAATTGGTTTTCCCCAAAAAGGGATTTCATGTAACAAATCTCTCAACCAATTCGCTTCCTCACATGCTGAAGCTAACGCTATAAGTTCAGCTTCTATAGTAGAATTAGCAATTATAGTCTATTTTTTAGACTTCCAACATATAGCACCACCACCCAAGGTAAAAATAAAACCTGAGGTAGAGAGAGAATCACCTGACAAAAAGTTCCAATCGGCATCACTATATCCCTCAAGTACCGCAAGATACTTGTTATAAAACAAACCATAATTTTTGGTACTAGATAAATATCTCATAAATCTTCCCATGGGTAGCCAATGATCTCGACTTGGTTTGCTAGTAAACCTGCTAAGTACTCCAACAGCATATGCAATGTCAGGTCTAGTACAGTCAATAACATATCTCAAACTACCAATTATGCTAGCATAATCCTTTTGATTAATCACTTCTTTTTTATTTGTTACAACTGATAAATGTATGCTTGCATCAAAAGGAGTAGCAACATGTTTATCGTCTAAAAAGTTATATTTCCTTAAAAAAATTTCAATATAATGCAACTGATCAGGAAAAATGACATCATTAGTCTTGGTAATTTTAATTCCCAAAATAAAATTGGCTTCACCAAGATCTTTCATATCAAAGTGACTATTAAGCATATTTTTAGTCTCATTTATAATATGCAAATTAGAGCTAAAGATAAGTAGATCATTCACATATAGGCTAATAATCACATGTGCATTCTTACAAGTTTTATAATATATGCACTTATCACATTCATCAGTCTTATAGCCATTCTCAAGCATGTAGGAATCAAATTTCTTATGCCACTGTTTAGGAGCTTGTTTTAAATCATAAAGGGATTTAGTTAGCTTACGCACCTTGCTTTCTTGGCCAGGCTCCACAAAGCCTTCGGGTTGGTCCATGTAAATCTTCTCATCTAGATCTCCATTTAGAAATGTTGTTTTCACATCCATTTGATGAATTTTTAAATCATGAATTGCAGTCACTGCTATCAACAGTCTAATGGATGTAACTCTAGTAACCAGAGAAAAAGTATAAAAAAAATCAAGATCAACTTGTCCCTTAAAACCTTTAACGACAAGCCTCGCTTTATATTTATCTATAGTTCCATCCGGTTTAAGTTTTTTACGAAGGACCCATTTACACCCAATAGTTTTACAACCTGGAGGTAAATCCACTAGCTTCCATGTTTTATTTGAAAGTAGTGAATCTATCTCATCATTTCCAGCCTCTCTCCAGAAAATAGCATTAGGTGATGATAAAGTTTCTTACACTGTAAGAGGAATTTCTTCCACATTGTATAGATAATAGTCAGGGCCAAAATCTTTTTCAACTCTAGCTTGTTTACTCTTCCTTGGTTGGATTTGAGAATTTTCTTGTTCTTGAAAAACTTGAGATGGAGTAGAAGACCTAGGCATGGATAAAATATTTTCAGAAATTATTTGACCTCCACTATTTCTAGATTTGAAAGGAAATTTATTTTCATGAAAAATAGCATCACCTGATTCAAAAATAAATATTATTTTCTATGTCAAAAAATCTATAAGATGTACTATGCAACGTAAACCTAAAAAAAGTACAGGTGGTAGCTCGTTCACCCACTTTAGGTCGTTTAGGATTTGCAAGCCTCACAAA